AAACAAAATGATTTTTCATGCAACGATTTCTTAAAAGAATTTTGCATATATATGAGGAGTATAGTAAAACTAATAAATGCCGAATTTGGTCGGGATATCTTGAAAAACAAAATTTTGTTTAATTCAACAACTTAAATTTCGACCGATCGTTCCTATGGCAGCTATGTGATGTATTGGTATAAATAGTAGGTTTGGCATATTTGCTGCGTGCAACAGAAAGCGGGACTTCTGCAAAGTTTCATTAAGATAGCTTTAAGACTGAGAGACTAGTTCGCATAGAAACAGACAGACAGACAGACATAAAGACGGACATGGATATATCGACTCGGCTGTTGATGCTGATCAGAAATATATATACTTTATGGGGTCGGAGATGTCTTCTTCTATGCGTTACACATTTCATGACAAAATTATAATACCTTCTGTAAGGGTATAAAAAAGTATTATTATGGCAGAACTCTGCACACTTGCAAGCAATAGAAAATGTCGGAAGAAAGTGCTTCAGAGTCGGCGTATTCGTTGTTTCAAATATAAACCAAGATTGCCTACTGATTGCATCATAATTCTCAGCAATAAGCTGAAGTAAAAAATTTAACGGTGTAGGCTTTCGGGACAGAGGCAATATACGAATTCAATCGACCTCGGGAGTTGCCTCACAAATGGCAAAAATCGTTTTTCAAACTTTCGACAAGCCAATGACATATCAAGTAGACGTGAAAGCCTTATTCAATTCTGGGCCAAAAGATTCAAGAAGCAAGGGTTTAATCGACGGCGAATTATTTAATTTTATATATATAATGTATATATATATGTTTATTGTATTGAATCAAAAATAGCATACATTATTATTAAAACACAGTTAACTTAGGAGGTATTTCGTCAAGCCGGGTTGGGTCCTCAGGCTTTTTCGTGGACAAACGTCAAAGGCGTCTTCTTTGAGTAAGGTTGCATCGTAACGTAGGTAGTTGGGGGTCTCTGGGGCGTCTCCTGTGTCGTGGTTGGAGGAGGTCCTTAAAGGCTCATCCCTTGAACCTCCTGAATACTCACCTCCCAGCGAGGTCTCTTGCTACTCGGTTACAGTGTCGCTGGAAGCGTTTGTTGTGTCGGTTGGCGAATACTTCGACTTTTTCTGTCTATAGTCTCTATTTTGGGGTCTCTATGCAAGGTAGAACTTCTGACGTACCAGTCAGCACCGGTCACTCGACGCAAGGCATAGTCTTGGAGTGTCTGAATCCATCTTCGATTTGTACGAGAAGCAATTCTCCAAACCTGGTTACCTTATCTCCAAGTTGGCGCCACCACGACGTTGTAGCCTGCCCGTTTGCAGAAAAGTGGCAATTTGCTGTTGGATTTTAATAGCCAGTTAGTCTTGGCCATCTTAAAGCGGCACTGCTTGAGAAGGCCGTCGATGTGCGCCCGAAAGGTAAGCCTCTTATCCAGTACAATTCCAAGATACTTGGCGCTTTTGCCAGGGTGATCGGGGCTGCAATCTATCCAGACTGCTGGAGCCTTGCCACGCCTCTGTGTGTAGTTGACCGCCTGGCACTTCGAGGCATTGAGATTGATGTTCCACCTGCGAGCCCAGTTCTCAATCGAGTGGATGGATTTCTGGGCCCCATCAGCGGCTTCGTACTTATATTGGGCGGAGTAAAATATTGCCACGCAGCAAATATGGCCATCAAGTGTTTGCCTGGGGTGGCGAACTCATATAGTTCATCCGGAGTGGGGATGTCTTCCGTGTACTAATTGTAAAGGAAGGAACCCAGTACGCTGCCTTGAGGGACACCCGCCTTCATATAACGAACCGGAGATAATGCTGTCCTGACTTTTATTTCAAACTTACGCTTAATTAGATATTTTTATTTTCTGGAGCAATCCATCTTTCCAGACTCGATCGAAGGCCTCAAAGACTCCATAGCAATAATCTTTATCGTCTTAAGCCTTAAGAATATGGTTCATCACTCTGTGAACCTGTTCATCAGCGCCATGCCCACCCCTGAACCCAAATTGGTGATCAGGAAGAATGGCAATTTGATCTATAAGGCTAATAAGTCGGGCGACAACCAGTCTTCCCAAACATTCGACTAGGAAGGCAGGAGACTGATCGGCCGATATGGCTCAGGGTCATATTCCGGCTAGCCCGACTTATGGATTACTGGATAACTTCCACAGGGCAGGAAAATATTACGTCCTTAATATGGCGGTAAAGATCAACGTTATAAAAAGGAGTGCGCGCACTGGCAGGGCCTTCAAAATGGTGAGCCATATTCCAACATGGACCCGTGCTTAAGCCCTGGGAAGGGCTTTGACGACGTTGTTCACCTCCTCCACGCGGATGGGGCCGATAGGTGGTAACAATTGAAGCGGAGTCTCTAACGCTCAGGTAGTCTCATCGATCTCTTCTGGGGAGGCCAAATGAAAAGGTGTGAACCGTTCCTCAGGTGGCTGGCGAAGGTATCAGCTTTCTCCTCGTGTGTACGGCAGTATGTTCCATTGTGGCGAAGAAATGGGAATGGTTCTCTCTTGGATGGGCAATAGCTGCGTTAAGCACTCAATGGCGTCTATGCAAGACGGAGTGTCTCTGCCGCCGTACGGGTCTCTTGTGCGAGAACCTGTGGCCAATACTTTCGATTGACGTTGCGCTAGGCTGTCAGCTAGTTGAAGGCCGGGGGCATTGCTGCTATTTACGCCCCAAACCAGTGATGTGCATTCCAGTCGCCTCCCACTGGATATCTGCCTCCGAGTTGAGTATGACGTTGAAATCATTAGTCGATGTTTTGGCTTCATTTGGCCTACAATAGACTGCTTCAAAGTCTACGCTACCAGCATCAGTGGAGACTTTCACAGTCGAATATTGATAAACACGATTTACAATGCTCAAATGCGGAAAGTGAGCCAATTTACTCCGGATGAGGACAGCGCATCTGCCACTAGCTGGGCGATTTTGAGTCCAGTGTACAGGGTACGCCTTGAAGCCAAAGATTCTTTACTTTGCCTGAAATGCCATTCCAGACTAACACCTTCAGTACTGTGGTAATTTCTATAGCTACGCTGTGAAAAGGTTATGGATTACTGCCATCCTCTCGATAGTTTGGCTCTTGTCCCCGATGGTAGAGGAAAGTCCTTCCCCGTTTTCAGATGTTGCTGTTGCTGTTTTGTGCTGTCAGCCTTTCCTGTTGCTGTTCCCTTAGCAATTTATGTAGCCTAGCTTGTGCTGCTATGAAAGCCCTTCTACTTGTTTAGTGGGTGCTGAACGGGGGAAATCAACAAGTGTAGGCACATGGACTTTTTTGCCGCGGCTTCGGTTCGCTTGAGTCGGTGGGCGATTTTTAGTTTTGGCTTTGGGGCTCCCGCACGCCTTGTATATTCGGTGAAGCACAAGCCTTTAACATTGCTAAGGTGGTTACCACCGCAGTGGGTGCATGTTCCCGGAGCTGAGTCGGGCCGTGTGTAATCGACACTGCGATCATTGAGCCCGCATTTTACGCATTTGTTTTCGTGCAGTCTCCACCTTGACCACCTGCTTGGACAACTTCCTGATGGTAAGAGCGTCCTTGTTGTTGGCCGCCGGATTCAAGTTAATAAGGTGGATGTTCACGGGCTCCTTGGTGGACTTTCTGTTCGGATGGTGCACATGGAAAATGGTATAGCTCTGGCTTCGGAGGTCGTCGATGAGCTATCTGTTGAAGTAGGGCTTCTCCTTCCGCAGCTGTTATGAATAGAATTTGATTTTTTGTTCTTTATGATGACGCTGTACGTCAGCACATCATCGGCTAGGGGTCGCATAGTCCGATCTAGCTTGGACTTGATGGTTGTCCAGGTCCACTAACACATAATGTATGAGCCACATGTCGTTAATATCATCAATATCATTTACCCGATAAGAGTTCAATATTGTTTGCCCATTCTTGGGCTGGCTGCCGCCGTCAACCTAATTCGATGTGGCAGGCAAATTCTCTTCTTGGGCTGAGCTTATCTGCTCGGCCTCAGATTCATCAGTCCCCATGTCTTCGTCCTTTTCGGGTGGTGTCAATGGTCAATAGATAATGGATGTATGTTTTTGGACTGGACTGGTGTCAGTCTTGTTCTGTTTTCGCCGCGCGGCAGGTGGGGACCTGCTGTCTAAGACTTTCCGCTTATTGTTTTTTTTTTTTTTATCATAAGGTGAGCCGCAGCTGCAATGGGTGAATTGGGTTTGATGATATCTATTCCATGCGCTATTGTGCCAACAGGGTCTCCATTCATAATAGCACCAGCATGTGGACTGCTGCCGGGGTCGTAGGAGACCATTAAATAGTAGAAAAGTAAAACAGCGCGGAGAATTTACTGGCAGCTGTTGCTAAGCGGCTGTTAAGCATTGAGGTGCTTGGTGGCGTAGCGGTGTCAGCATATAGTTGACCTACCTCGATAGTTAAAGGAGACCCCTTGTTGTTCATTGTGGGTGCGTTGGTGATCTCAGCACTTCCTGGTATGGTTGTTCTATTAGCCTTGCCACTTGCTGGGCGCATGTCAGCAATGCAGCGAAGACGACTTGCTTATTAAATAAAATTGCTTTGTCAGCAAGCAGCTTTGTTTTAATTTTTGATGTTATTATTTTTTTTTTCTGTTTAATATTGATTCTTCATAATTGATGTGTTTCAATCTTTGTGCGGGGTTAAAAAAGCCGCGTTTGGCCTTTTGGGTGTACACTGAAATTTTAATTGTTGATTTTTTCCACGAGTACGTTCACTTTGAACACCAAGAAATGTCTTGAACTATTTAATATAAATGAAAAAACTGATTTGTCGAGAAACCCGTCTTCCGCCCTTTAAACAAAATTTTGCCTCCCCGTGAAATTCTTAGTATATTCTTCAAAATTATCATTATCATCATTCGACCTTCCTTTCATAAATATGTGTATAGAGACGCCGTGACAGGCAAATAATCACGAACAATTTAGTTTGCTTTTCTTATAATGTTAATGATATTCAATATATATATATATATATGCTCATACTTACTTGTTCATCATAATCATTCAATTCGGGAACTACGTCTGGGTTTCTTTCATCGGTTTCATCGATATCTTTACTAACGCTCTGATCGCTCGGAACCGGAGAATCATCTCTAGACTCAATGCCGATAGATGCAGCTTTCTGTCGCCTTCTTGAAGTTGCGGCGCATGGAATTCGGAGAGCGAGTATAATGGCAAATGTTGCAATGAAAAGTGCTAAAGTCAATCCAATTGTTAACGATACCATTGGTGAAAACAACAATTCTGCTCGGGGTGTGTCGGCTAAAATAAAATATAAACATTTTAGAAACAGAAGTTTGGTCATTTGTACCCAACATTCAAAAAGTATATTGTAAAATTAGAAAAATATTTGAACTGAAAAATGTGGGTGGAAATTTTAAGTGGACTGTTTACTGGAAAACAACGTTAACATATCTGAGTAGGTATTTTCATGAATAAACGCAACTTCTCTCCAAATGCAAGTGTCTTGTAACCGATGCAGTTTGTTTTGCAGCGATGCCAGTTGTATACATTTGTAGAAGGTATTATAATTATCTCCTGACATGTGTCACAACTAAGCATAAATAGAGTCGTCAAATCGATAAAAAAAACAAAAGACCCTTGTAGACCCAACCTTTTCATAATGCTCATTATGCTTTGCCCGTAACTAAGAAGCATAAAGAAAATATTTAACGCCGAAAATGGCTAAGATATCTTGAAAAACAAAATGTTTTTCATATAAGAACTTCATTTTCAACCGATTGTTCCTACGGCAGATATATAATATAGTGGTCCAATGTAAATTAGTTTTCCAACAGAATTTTTTCAATTGTACTTTCGACCGATCGTTCCTTTTGCAGCTGTATGATAAAGTGGTCTGATCTAGCCGGTTCCGACATATGTACATCGTGCAACGGGATGAGGGTACTTCTGAAAAGTTTCATGACGATAGGTTTAAAACTGAGAGACAAGTTCGCATAGAAACAGACAAACCGACATAACTGTATCGACTCGGCTGTTGATTTGATCAAACATATATACAATATACCGTATGATGTTTGAGATATAGCCATATAAAAATTTTGAGAGTATATTATACTACCCTCTGCAGCAGTATAAAGCAAATAAGAGGTTCTTGTCGGCGCTTCCGACTACAGGATACTTCGATTATTCTTATTCCAACACTTAATACAGCTAGCGCAACGCGTTTGTTTGTGGGATTAAAGATAATTAAAAAAAACATGTTCCCTCGCACTACTTGCCGCCGTCTTCACTCAACAGCCATAGCAGCCAAAAAATAAAAATAAATAGTTAATAAATCCAATAATTTAGTCTCAGCGTGAAAAAAAAAAGAATTTAAGCAGCAGCACAGAAAACAATACAAACGCAATTACAAATTAAGTTATCAGTAGAATTCGAAGCAGACGCGCATGAATGTGTGTGTGTACATGTATACACAAATTTTTCAAATTTGCGTTGCAAACTCGTGCGAAAAACAAAACAAAAACAGATCTTAGCGAAATTTTCTACAGTATATCTTATTATACCATAAAATATTTGCGTATTCTTAAAAAGCCAATTGAATTTGAATTGAGGCTTAAATTGGTGTGCAATACAAGCTGGGTTACTAACTTCATTTATAGCTATGGGTCGGTAGCGTGGAGGTGGCGATAGGTATAAAGTGAAAGCTATTGATATGCTGATATATTATAATATTCTAGAAGCAACATATTATGCTGGTGATTCTAGCTTTTATTATTTACCCAATTTGCTCAAAAAACAGGATGTCAAAATCGATTTGTATCGATTGCTGGGAAACGGAGAAAGTTATCGATTATCGCAAGCAAACTCGGTCTGCGCAGGCACTAGGAGGACCTACAGGTAAAATTGCATGTGTGTATATCTTATAGGTTCTGATATCCTTGAGCTCATTTAAACGGACAGATGAACAGACAGGCAGACGGATTTAGCTAGATCGACTCGGCTATTGATGCTAATCAAGAATATATATACTTTATGGGGTCGGAGATGCTTCTGCATGTTACATACATTTACATTTTGCTCAAATACAATATACCCTTTTCACCCATTTTTAATGGGTTCAGGGTATACATAGTGACAATATTTTGGCGCGTCAGTAAGTCATCTATTTTCGTCCATTTCGTTACCCATAAAAATATTATTGAAAGTGTCATCCGAACGCCGGCCCTTGACAGCCGAGAGCAATAAAAAACGACGCAGCTGCTTATTTAATACCGTAAATATATATGTTGCGCTATTGAGCTTTTTCAATAGCTTTCACAAAAAGAAATAATAAACTATTTATTTTTTGTGTTCAAAATTGTTTTATATTTCTTAAAGTTACGAGAAGCAGGCAGACCCGCATTGGTCTGTGCTTATTATTTAAGAACAATAGTTTATATATAGGCAAGCGAACCCGAATTAGTACGTGCCAATTTTAGTGAAGAGACAATTATTAGTTATAATTTTGAGTAATACAAGTGGGCGATGCATGAAGCGAACTGACTTAACTAACTCGATGCGCAGCATCGAGGGCTTCGCATAAGTAAAGCTAGGGCAATAAAACGATCGTTACAGCGAAGAGCGGCAGCTCTATGTAAATGAATTCTTAAGAGCGAAATTTAGGCACTTGCTTTGCAGAGCGAGTATTATAAGATAAAATTAAGATGCTGCTCTTATCAGTTGCGAGGTCGCTCCAGTTGTTTTGGCTGCGTAACCAGACATTCTCCCTCCGTTGGAAGGCATGGGCTTTCAACAGATTCCCTGATGGGCAATAGGCATAGCTTGTTTGCAGCTCTTCTCGTTTCTCCTGTTGCGGTGCGCAAAATGGCTACTCGAGCGACTCCATCCTTTTCCACGATTAACTCTGCGATTCTCGCCAGTGGCCACCTTACAGGCGGAAGATTTTCATCCTTTACGAGCACTATGTCGTTGACGCATAGGCCTGGTTTCAGAATACGCCATTTGGAGCGCTGCTGAAGCAGTGTTAAGTATTCTTCACGCCAGCGAGACCAAAACAGTTGTTGGAGGTACGTTACGTGTGCCAGACTATTGAATTGAAGGTGCGTCACATCAGGTTCAAAGAACGATGAGCTGGGTCCACCAATCAAGAAATGAGCTGGAGTGAGCACATCTAGATCTGCTGGATCTTCTGAAAGTGGAAACAATGGCCTGGAATTAATTATCGATGCTATGTGGCAGACTAGGGTGCGAAACTCTTCGAAGTTGAGAACACAAGATCCAATAGCACGATAAAAATGATGTTTGGCTGTCTTCACTGCTGCTTCCCAAAGGCCGCCAAAATGCGGTGAACGAGGAGGTATAAATTTCCAATCAATGGTATCAGCCATGCAAAAATTATGCACTGACCCAATATGATTACGACTTGTGAATAGATGCTTGAGATCCAGAAGCTCGTTTTTGGCGCCGACAAAGATGGTAGCGTTATCCGACCATATCTGAGATGGCCTGCCTCGAGTCGATATAAACCTCTTAAGCGCATTCAAGAAAGAAGCTGTCGACAGATCCTTGACCAGTTCCAGGTGAACCGCTTTAGTCGCGAAGCAGACATAGACAGCCATGTAACATTTGACTGGAGCTTTATTTCGTATGTCTGGCTTATAGAAAAATGGTCCACAATAGTCAACACCAGAGACTTCAAAGGCTCGACAAGCAGTCAAACGTTCTTTGGGCAGATCACCCATTATATGCTCTATTAATCGAGGCTTGGCACGAAAGCATCTCACACATTTTTCAACCACCTTGGTTACGGTCTTCCTTCCACCAATCGGCCAATAGTGCAACCGAATATGAGCAAGAAGTGCCCGTGGACCAGCGTGTTAGTCCCGATTGTGAAACCGTGTGATGACTGAGTTTGTGATGGGGTGGTGACACGGAAGAATTATTGGATGGCGAGCGTCGAAATCCAGCGAAGAGTTTTTCAAGCGCCCATCAACTCTAAGAATTCCGAAATCATCCAAAACAGGGTTAAGTGATGCGATACAACTGGACGGTTTAACAACTCTTCTCGATTGCAATGATTTGATCTCTTCCCACAGGTGTGCTCTCTGGACGAGCCTTAGTAAGAGTTGGGTCCCATATTGTATATCAGACACTGTTAGTCCAGGATGCCTGCTTCTGTGTATGAATTTATAAATATATCCGAATATACGCTGCATTGTATCAAATGAGTTGACGTATTTACAAGTGACAGTTAACGAAGGAGATGACGCAATAAGGACCCTTTTTTTAAGTTCGAGTTCTGTCCTTTCTGACAAGCAAGAAGCAGGCCAGTCCAATTTGTTTTTTACTAGAAATTCTGGGCCGTTGAACCACAGTGACGATTGATCTAATTCACTGGGCGTAGATCCTCTCGAGAGTATATCTTCCGGGTTGAGTGAAGTAGGCACGTAACGCCATTCCATGCCATTAGTTAGCTCTTGAACTGCTGTGACGCGATTAGCCACACACATTGAGCCTGCAGGGCTCGGTCCTTATCCAGGAAAGGCATACAGAAGCGTCCGACCAACAGTAGAATTTTCCATCGAACAGATTCATTTTAGATATCTCACGCATGAGATTAGATAATAAGTCGGCACCACAGAGCTCTAGCTTTGGAACTGTGATTGTTTTCAGAGGAGCTACACGCGATTTGGAATACAACAGCTGATAACTGGCTGATGTTCGTCGTGAAAGGACGTAGGCACAGGCCCCATATGCTTCGATGCTGGCGTCGCAGAAACCGTGAACTTCTAACTCTGCTGCAGGTATTGACACGAGACGAGGAAATTTAAGAAACTGTGCCTTGTCAAAACTGCAGCAAAGATCATGCCAAGCTGTTGCCAGTGATGATGGCAAGCTCTCGTCCCACTCAAGCTTCTCCTTCCAGATCTGCTGCATAAAGATTTTAGCCTTGGCAATTACCGGCCCTATGAGTCCAAGCGGGTCATACAAGCGAGCTATGGTCGATAGTATTGATCTTTTGGATGGTTTAGATCTCTGCTGAATGGACGAAAACGAAAACAACAATCGATCCGACGCTGAGTCCCAAGCGAGTCTAAGAGTCTTGGTGATGTCGCTACCATCATCAAACTTTAGGGAAGATTCTCTGTCCTCTATGGGTATCCCTTTCAGTACAGCAGAATTGTTTGAGTACCACTTTCGCAACTTCCTTTGTTCTTTGCTTCTTGGGGTGACCCCTGAAATGAGGTCATCAACGTAGAAGTCACGCCGCAAAATCCGAGATCCAATTGGAAAATTAG